TACACTATTGTTTTACTTGATCTTTTCTATGTGTTCCATTTCCTCCATTACTTCATAATGATCCCTCATATTATCATATCTCACTCATTAGCTAGACATATGAAATATTTCTACTATTTTATAATTAATAGATTTGCTATAACATATTTGCTTAGATAGCTTTGTAAACAAGGATTTCTTTAGATGTGAGACTGATAGTTTAAGGATATGATTTGTTCACAGCACTTTCTTTTTTGTCCACTAGCTTTTTATAAAGATGCTTATCTGGGCCAGGCAGGGTGGCTCACGCCGGTAATCCTAGCACTCTGGGAGGCTGAAGCGGGAGGATTGCTGGAGCTCAGGTGTTCAAGACTAGTCTGAGTAAGAGTGAGACCCATCTCTACTAAATATAGAAAAATTAGTCAGCCAGGCATCATCATGTGCAGCTGTAGTCTCAACTACTCAGGAGGTTGAGGCAGGATGATCACTCTAGCCCAGGAGTTTGAGGTTGTAGTGAACTACTGTGACGCCACTACACTCTACCCTGGAGAAAGATGAACAGAAACTTTTCAAAAGACAGAATAAAGGCCAACAAACATATGAAAAAATGCTCAACATCTCTAATCATCAGGAAAATGCAAATCAAAACTACAATGAGATATCACTTATCTCCAGAGAGAATGGCCTTTATCAAAAGGTCCCAAAATAATAAATGTTGGCGTGGATGCGCAGAGATAGGAATACTCCTACACTGCTGGTTGGACTGCAAACTAGTGCAACCTCTGCGGAAAGCAATATGGAGATACCTTAAAGTGATACAAGTAGATCTACCATTTGATCCAGCAATCCTATTACTGGGCAGCTACCCAAAAGAACAAAAGACAGTCTATTAAAAAAAAGACATCTGTACTCAAATGTTTATAGCAGCATAATTCACAATTGCAAAGATGTGGAAACAACCCAAGTGCCCATCAATACATGAGTGGATTAATAAAATGTGGTATTTGTATACCATGGAGTTCCATTCAGCTATAAGAAACAATGGTGATCTAGCACCTCTTGTATTTTCCTGGATAGAGCTGGAACCCATTCTACTAAATGAAGTATCCCAAGAATGGAAAAATAAGCACCACATGTACTCACCAGCAAATTGGTTTCACTGATCAACACCTAAGGGCACATATAGGAATAACATTTATTGGGCATCAGGCAGATGGGAGGGGGAGGAGAGGATGGGTATATACGTACATACATACGTAATGAGTGCGACGCGCACCGTCTGGGAGATGGACACGCTTGAAGCTCTGACTCCGGGGGGAGGGAAGGCAACATATGTAACCTAAACATTTGTACCCCCCTAATATGCTGATATTACAAAAAATGTTTATCTGTTTGTTTCAGTTATTTCTTTTTAGAGATGGAGTCTCACTATGTTGCCCAGGCTGGTCTCAAACTCCTGGCCTCAAGCAATCCTCCCACCTTAGCCTCCCAGGGTAGCTCAGACTATAGGCATATGCCACTGTGCTGGGCTTGTTTGTTTTCAAAAACCAAGAATGGATGTTTAACTCTGTCAACTGCCTTTCTGATATTTCTTGATATGAGAGCATAACAAATTTGGTTTTTTTACTTTTCTAATTAACGTAGCATATTTTGGTTTTGTTGCTCTTGTATCAAACTATCCCCACATTCCTAAAATAAACCAATTCTGTCACAATCACAATGAATAACTCTTTGGTATGTTGTTGTTTTTCTGCTACCTTTTTATTTAGAAATTCCACAAAGTTGACAGGTGAGACTGGCCCATATTATCAGATTTTAAGATTAAGCCCGTATTAGCCTAAAAGAATGCAACTATCATACCAACTTGTTCTAATTGTATAATATAGAAATTATGAGTTATTTAAAGTTTGAATTTTTGTCTTAGCAAATCCTTTAATTCTGGCTGCTTTTGGCAGGGGGGGAAGGGGGCAAGGAGAAAACTTTTTGTTTTTTTCTCTTATTAACTGATGCCAATAGAACATTAATCTTGTTAATCTTTTAAAAGAACCAAATTTTGATTTTATTTATCGGTTGTAAGGTTTTTTCATTTTATTTTTTAGAGATAAGGTCTTGCTATGTTGGGTAGGCTGGTCTTGAACTCCTGGGCTCAAGTGATACTCCTGCCTCAGCCTCCTGAGTAGCTGGGACTATAAAGCACATGCCACCACTCTTTGCTAATTTGTTAATTTTTTGCAGAGATGGGATCTTATTATGTTGCCAAGGCTGGTCTCGAACTCAGCTTCAAACAATTCTCCTGCCTGGGTCTCCCCAAAGTGCTGGTATTACAGGGGTGAGCCACTGCACAGGGCCAATGCATGTGGTTTCATGACATTTCCATCTTTTTGTATTTACTAGAATGTACATTGTGACATAGTAAAAATGATCAATTTTTATGAAAGTCATGTAAACTTTATAAAAAGTGTATTTTCCTGGTTTTTGTTTAATTTTCTCTAAATACCTGTTAATTGTATTAGTTATGCAATTTAAAACTAACAATTTTTCTTGGTATGGTTGCTCTTTTAGGATGGTGGAAAAACATTTCCACCAAAATTCCTCTCCATGTCTACTTTTATATATGTATTTTGTTAAGTTATTTAAGGTATGTGGAGCCAATAAAGTATTTCCCCATGATTTTTGTACTTTTGTCATTGCCCTTATTCATCCCATATATTTTGAACACCTACTTCTTCAGATAACACTTGAAGTTTCAGCTTTCTTATGCATATGTAGAAGGTATGTACATGGTAACATACAAAATATTCTTTTAATTGTTTACTTAAATCATTTGCTTTGAATAGGCTTTATTTCATGTAGGGCTTAAGCTAAAAAATGATGTTTCTACATATAATTATATTCCCAACATCACTTGGTTAAAGAGTTTTTTTCTAGAGGCTGCAGAAGGCACCTCACTGGCACAGAGGCCAGGAAGGAAAGGCACACGTTGCCGCTTTCCTTTGATTTAATGCTCATGAAATGCAGTGGAACGTGCTCAGTAACCTGAAATGAATTTCCAGTGTTGGATTAGTGACATCTTAGGGTAGAATATGCTTCATAGGGATGGCAGCTATGCCAGATTGACTGACGGTGTGATGGCATTTCATTTTGTTATTCTCTAGATACCTAAGAAAAAATCAGCTAGTCTACAAGACCATCATTTTCACCAAACTCTACAGTTTAAAAACTTCCCTAAGTCCTGTTCATCAAGCACACACACTAGTTATAAAACCCTCATGATATCATCAGTTCAACAATTCAAAAAACTTGTCACATTTATGTAAATATTTAACATGAATAGGTATTCAAATATGGGTGTGTGTGTGTGTGTATATATATATATATATATATATATATATATAAATGCCTTATCAATAATATCTTTGTTAAAAGAATGGACAGGGATTTTGAAGTCCCTTCTCCATAAAATTTATTTTTAGATCTGTGGCTTTTCTGATACGGCAATGGAGTGTTACTGAATCACAACTTCATAAAAGCTAATTATGTGAAAATAGACAATCAAAAACCAGTTTCTAATATTACCACTGAAATTCATAATGTCAATCCTCAAAATTCTCCTATATCAGTCTTTAATGTAATTCCGTTTCTCTAGGCTTAAGGAATATTCACATCTAGTTTTTATGAGAAACATGAATGTTATATTCCTTCATTGCAGTAAATAAATTCCCAACAGTGCTCTCAGACTTTTGAGCTTATATATTTCTAGAGAAAAGGAAAAACAATTAAGATGACTAAAGTTAGAAGAATCAGGGTACTAACTTAGCAAACCAGCGGACAGATATTTCTAAGACAAACTATAAGAAAATGGCATGTAACCAGTTAATCCATGGCATCTTTCCATTCCCCACTCTCACTTTCAGACTAAACAATACTGCCCACACATGGGTCATATACAAGATCACACACTTTCCGGAGTATGATTATCTATATATCTGATAAGAGTTATTTTCACAAAAGAACCTTCTTAATTCATTTAGACAATTGTGGAGTTGCTAGGCTCATGTAAATTTTAGGGCCTGCCAAGTACTAATTGTACTCTTATAATAGTAGCTCCCATTCATATATAGGAAGTCATCAAGAAATATGAGAAAGCTTAAGGGTATTTTCAGACTTTCTCACCCTTCCCCTGGCCAACAGAGCTCACCCTTAATATTCTTGTATTGAAATAAACTCAGATTTCCTATAAAAGCAATTCTTTAATGAAGAGGTATAAGAAGTTGATAAAACTAGCATGTTACTCATTATAATACCCACCTTGGCCCCCATGCCAAGGATAGTGCTCTATTAAGTGAAATAGTGATATAAACAAGGCCTCCTGTGGACTCAAACACCAAAGCCCCTCAAAGAGGGATCAGAATGAACTGACCTTCCCATCTTATGTAGATTATGTTATAGTGAGAAGGAACTAGTTACCATTGCTCTGAGAGGCTGTAATTATTGTTATCAGTTCCTCTGTAAAACAGTCTAGTTAGTAACCAGGAATAAAAATAATAAATGGATTATTTTGACAATGTTAATGGAAGAGTTACTAAGATATCTCTATGAAGTTGTATAAGACTAAATCCTAATGAGGGATGGAAAAAAAGAAAAGATAAAAAAGACACCCCAAGGAAGCTGTAACACTTAAATTCCAAACACCAACCACGATATGGACATGTACAGGCACCTTGCCAAACTCTTCAGAAAATTCTAACCATTGAAGTCACCATTCTTCATTTGATTCAGCACTTCAGCAATCATTGAGTACCTTTCAGTATTGTAAATTAAAGTAACTGATAACATTTATATCAGAATTACTTTACAGATACGAAAACAGGGAGACAAAATTCTCCCATGCAGAATGCTACCCCTTATGCAAAAAGTTAAGTAAACCTTGACACCCATTCACCTGTACCAAACCTCCTCAGAACCGCAAAGGTGATTGATTACTCAACGAAAGCAAACAATGAATGAATAATTCTTCTGACCTGCAAAATGAGAACGAAGTAGTCTACAGGTTTGTTGCGCTGGTAGAGGTAGTACTCTGGTGCTTTCTTGTTCTTCTCATCATACTTCAGTTCTTGGATGACATTGGGGTGCTTTAGCAGCCTGAGAAGGATCTTCTCTGACATCTGGGATGGGCTAAATGCTTCTACTTCTATAGATATAAACACAACTTGATATTACACTTCAAATGGATAGACAAACATACACTAGTAATCAAGGTGTTTAGATAGTAAGAATGCTTGGAATCAAAGTGACATGGTATGGATGAACGAGACTTCCATTTGGTGATCCACTGAGGACACATTACCTGGGAGAAATTAGAAAATGCCAAGTTCTCATCATTGTTCCTTTTCAACCTGTCCTTGACTTCAGTCCTCATAAAAGTATCCTAATTTTCTGACTGCTAGAAATGAAAATCAATCAGAAGCAGGCTCCTTGAGTGCCAAATGCCCCTCAACAAGCCACAACAGTCTGACAGTCTGTCCGTCCAACAACAGCCAAAGGAAGAAGCCAAGGTCTGGAAGCGCTGGTGTGTTAGTGGCAGGTGCAGACACAGGTGTGCTATATCCCACTCTCCCACGCAACCGCCCTGAGAAATTCGGGAACGAAGGCTGAGACCCAGAGTAAAAGCAAGGCATGTGCACACATCAACATGCACTCTGACTGGCTAATTTTTAAAAAAATAATGTTGAGCGGTATTTACAAAGATAGCAATTTTATTTAAAATAACACACACCAAAATTACTGATTCAAGGGTGCTATCCTGCAACTGGACCTTATGATAACCAAGAGGCAGAGTAGGGTAACATTTAGTTTTAATTTGTGATTCTTAAATGGTGAGGAACAATATTATCAGAGTTAGAAAAAGAGTAAGTTAAAATTATATTTTTAATTATGTTTTATATAAAAGATGTAAATTCTGAATTAGATTGTGACTTTTGTGTAATAAGATAGTATACTGTAGAAATTTTAGAAAATATAGAAAAAGATAAAGAAGAAAATAAAAATTACCTATAAACCAACCACTCAGACAACCATTCTGAGCCACTGGTGAGCATTTCTTTTCAGTGCTATGCCCGGGCATGTGTGCCTGTGCATATTGTTCGTGTGTGTACACACAAACACACAACTTTAATCTTAACGTACACACAGTTTTAGATTCCGTTGTTTTCCCACTTTACATTAAATTGTGAATATTTTCCCAAGTCATGAATATTATATTGTGGGCATTGCTGTGTATCTGAAAACGTGATCTTAAAGAGTACGTAGTGTTCCATCACGTGGCTGCGTCAGCCTTCTTTTCAAAGTATTTCGAGTACTCTGCATGCAGCTGGAAGGCTGCCCATCTTGGACACTGATGTCTTCTACAAGCCACTGGGTACTTTGAGGCTTTCTCTCACTTCCCCTGGCCAACAGAGCTCACCCTTCACCTAGAGAGCCACTTGGGGATGTGAGAAGGGTTGGTCTGTCTCTTAAGTTCAGTCAACCTTGACCTCTCTGGAGCAGTCAGTGCCGGCCGGGTTGGTGGTTTTAATAATGTGAACCTTTGCCTCCTGGAATGGGCCCAAGTTAACAACCTGATTTGAAGAGGCCATCAGGAAATCCACGTCAAGGTTCTTAGAATCTCTGATTTCATTAAAACCAGAAAAGATATTAATTTCGAAAACCTATTTTTCTTCTTTGCAAATCATAGCCCCCGCGTCACCACTGATGGCCGACTGTTCTTCCAAGGCAAGCTGGAGAGAGACCGGACACAGCTGTCCGGCCACGCACGCTGGGGTCTGGCTCATGGCGCCAGCCTGCCCCGCCGGCGGGCTCTCCCGCACGCCTAGCCGGGGGAGGCGCTCCGCCTACGGTACACATGCAGTGTGGCACTAACATTCATCCTTACCTTTCAGACCAATTTTAAGTTACTGGTCCACCCCTGGTAAATGTCTCAGAGGGTTCATGCCGACACTGAACATAGGAGAGGAGAGAATTTAAAAAGAAAAAAAACAAAACAAAACAAAAAAACAAAGAAACAAAAAACAAAACACAAAAGTGGCATTACTTATCACCCCATTTCCCGGTGTCCACCCCCAGCCCACCCCGTCAGTGGTGGGTGAGAAGCACGCTCCAGGGTTGGTAGAGATTTCAAACTGTGATAAGCGGCACTTGCCTGTTGCTAGGAAACGGTGCATGGCCAAGAGGAGCTGTGGTGATATTTTAACCTTCATCTCGCTGTCTGTCTGCTTAAAGGCAGAAAAATCTTGCTTTCTTTCACGGTGGGCCACTTTCTTTTTCGTTCTGTTATCAGCTGAGGGAGAAATGAAAAAAAAAAATAAGGAAACGTGTATCATGAGATCAGGCTCTTTTTGAATGAAAAAAAAAAAATATATATATATATATATATTGGAAAGGCTGGACTGTCCCTCCAGATGTGGGAGCTCTCCATACAAACAGCACGTGGAAATAAAGTGGAAAGGGGAGGGGGAGAGAGGATCATCATCAAATCGGCAGGCACCATAGTCACGGCACGATCCAAAGAAAGTAACAGCAGGCAACCTGGTTAGTAAATGTACTTCATGAAGGTCCTCAGAGAGCCACTCTGAGCACATGGTCAGGCAGACCTGGACAAAACACTCACAGAACCAACATAAAGGCACAAGCAGTTTGCAGCCTGGAGCTCACAGTCTCCTGCTACTCAACGTGAGCACACCCTGGTGCGGAACCACCACTTCGCTACACACCAGCAAAGTGTGTCCCTGCCTGTAAGAGTCCCCTCGCTTCAGCTGCAAGCGAACACACAAATGAAACCCTTTAAGAAACAAACAAGAACGTTCTCGTAGAACAGCATTTCAGTAAGATCTGTTTGCTTCACTGCTAACCCTGGACCATGAGATCCTCAAGGTCAAGGAAATATGAAGGTGATCCAGAATGGGGGTTGGCACACTTCCTCTGTAAAGGGCCAGAGAGTAAATAGTTTAGGCTCTGCAGGGCTATCGTGTTGTCTCCATGCTGGTGGGTAGCGAAAGTGTCAATGGATGAGCATGGCTGTGTGCCAACAGAACCTTATTTATGGACACTGAAATCTGAATTTCAGAAAAGTCAAAATAATAATTACTTGTGATGTGCATAAATTATTCTACTTTTGATTTTTATCAAAAATTAAAACAGGTAAAAAGCCATTCTTAGCTTGCAGGCCTTCCAAAAACTGGCGGCAGGCATTCGTGGGCTGTCGGCTGCCAACCCCTGACCTAGAAGGTGTCTCACAAGAAACCGTTTTTCTGGACAAAGTAATGATCATGAAAAAACTAGCACAAAGACAAGACCCCAATCGCTTTTTCTCTAAGAATCTGGAGTCACTGCAGTATCACTTCCTGCCTAGAGCAAGACAGACTGGTTACTGGGCTTTTCCTGGGGAGAGGGCAATCACAACTTCTACCTTTTCTTCTGTCTCAAATTCTTTTGAGAACAGACAGTGTAAAACAATACAAGATTTAAAAATAATTTTCTAATGGCAATAGCTGTCATCCCCCATCTCCTATCCAGAGCAAGAATATACCAGAAATCAAGAGTCTAGCATTTTGAACCAGTCATGTGAGGCAACACTTCTATATGAAATCAGTCCAGTCAAGGCTTAAAAGAAATTAAACTAACATTTATATAAAACTGAAGTGCATATATAAGATCTCATGAATGTTAAATTGTCTTTCTAATGATGAGTACTACCCTTGGGGAAACAAATGCACAGAGACACCCTTAGTTTTTATTAATTAGAGACAGAGTCTGGCTCTGTCCAGCAGGCTGGAGTGCAGTGGGGTGAGATCATCGCTCACTACAGCCTCAAACTCCTGGGCTCAAGTGATCCACCCACTTCAGCCTCCTGAGTAGCTGAGACAACAGGCATGCACCACCATGCCTGGCTAATTTTTAAAATATTTTGTACAGATGGGGTCTGGCTAAGTTGCCCAGGCTGATCTTAAACTCCTGGGCTCAACTTGACATCCCAAAGTGCTGGGATCATAGATGTGAGCCTATACTTGGTTTTTAAAGTCACTTATGGCCGGGTGCAGTGGCTCGCGCCTGTAATCCTAGCACTCTGGGAGGCCGAGGCGGGCAGATTGCTCGTGGTCAGGAGTTCAAAACCAGCCTGAGCAAGAGAAGAGACCCCATCTCTACTATAAATAGAAATTAATTGGCCAACTAATATATATAGAAAAAATCAGCCAAGCATGGTGGCACATGCCTGTAGTCCCAGCTACTTGGGAGGCTGAGGCAGCAGGATTGCTTGAGCACAGGAGTTTGAGGTTGCTGTGAGCTAGGCTGATGCCCCGGCACTCACTCTAGCCTGGGCAACAAAGCGAGATTCTGTCTTAAAAATATATAAATAAATAAAGTCACTTACGAGGAAGGAAGAAAAGAATGTAAACACACAGGTAACAGCATTCTCTATTATGAGACTTCTCACTACCCCTTAAGTGTCAGAAAGATAAAACAGACATGGGAAAGGGTGTTTTTTAAGAATGACACACGGATATGAGGAAAAAGCAGGATACATTTTCCGAAGACAGTCATTAGCTAAATATAAAATGTATTCTTTTAGGGGTACATGAAGACTTTCTCAAGTTTAAAATGAGGATGTTCCCTCCTAGCAGAACTGAATAGAATCATTCTGCTTTGAGCAAGACAGGCTTTGTCCCAAGTGCCCCAGCCCACTGGAACAGTCCATTTCCCCTCCAAGCCATGTTTTAGAGCCAAGTAGGATAAACAGAGCCCAGATGCTTTCTCCATCCAACCTGAGAGCCCCAAACATCTCAGGCCTTGGGCCAACTCTGGCATCATGAAACCCTTGCACAGTGCCAAGAATGAGGCTACAGCAGGTGGTTTAAGCTCCACAGTCCAGAGATCCAGTTGTGCACTTTCATGAGACAGGATTCAGGTTAACACTCAGCCTAGGATCAAGTCTACACCTGGGCAAATGAAGTATGAATACTCACCTCCCCCTTCCCTGATCCACTCCCCTCCCTCTTCTCCCCCCAGAAAAGAAGGCAGAGAAGCTGAGAAGAGGAAAACCACATTCTTACTATGCACCTGCCCCATCCTGCTTCCCATACCCCATCCCACTCCCGCCAAACCACACCTCTGCCTCTGACCCATGGGTTCTAGGACAAGGAAATTTCAACAGTTGTCATCTATCAATTTAACAAATCCCATTCAGTTTTTAAGTACCTGTATTACGAACTTCAGTAGAAACAGAAATTTACCTGAGAACAATTTACCTAGCTGTATAAATTAAACATTTAGTAGAAAACAATTATCTTTATAAACATAAAATAAATTTCAAAACCAGGACTGAGTTTTCTGTTCAGGGTAAGCCATGCCCAGATCAATGGTCGGCTTTTCCTAAGAACACTGCCACTTGCCATTATGGGGTCTGCCTCTTCTCTTCCCTCTGCTGAAGGGGCTGGGACGCACCCACAGATTGTACACAGCCTACACACAGAGTGCGTAATAAATGGGCAGACAACACCTGGAGAAATGCCAGATGACTCACAAGCAACATGACAACAAAAAATAGCAAAGGTTTTAAGAAATATCAGACAATGCTACTCACTGTATAAATCTGTTTCATCTAGAATCTCAGATTTGATTATTTCTTCAATCACATCTTCTAAGGTGACGATTCCCAGAACTTCATAAAATGGATCCCCTTCTCCCTCATTGTTTACCCGCTGCACAATAGCCAGGTGAGATTTACCTTTAAAGAAAAGAAAACATTTAAGAGGTGACTTTCTGAATTTCCTGAACAACATCCTACATATGATTATGGTAAAAAAAAAAAATAGCAAATACAGATACCAAATTATCAAAGACCCCATTTCAGCATTTAAAGATGGTATGGAAATATCACAAACAAATGGAAAAGCCTTATGAGCCATTAAAAGCAAGAAACTGTCACCCTGTACACATACTACACTCTGGCTCTTTGCATGGAATGGATTTGGTCCTCAGTACGGTCAGCTCTTCTATGTCCCCTTTTAGCAACTGCCACTTTAAAAGAACAGTTCTCAAAGGGTGGTCAACAGTCCCACAGGAATTCCCAAGATCCTTTTAGGATGTGGGTGAGGTCAAACTTTTAATATTTTTATAATACAAAGATGCTACCAGCCATTTTCACTGCGTTGATATTTGAACTGACGGTGCAGAGGCGCCTTCGCATGGACCAAGTCGGGGGGTGGGGAGGTACAGGGTGGGCAGACCGTGCTGGTGGTCACTATTCTCCACCATCACACGGGCACAGTTGAAAGGAAAAAGTCAGTTTCTCTTACAAATGTCCTTGATCGAGCAGTAAAAATTAATATCACTAAATCTTGACCCTGAATACATGTCTTTTAATATTCTACATGACAACATGGGAAGTACCACGACACAGTTCTGTTGCACTCTGAACTACAACAGGTTCTTGAGGAAAGGCACTCCTGTGATTAGCCACTTTCTTCACCAGACATCATCTTTACTTGGGAGAATGACTACCAGACAAACTATGGTTATTTAGATTCAGGTATTTGTCAGACATTTTCTTTTTTTTTTTTGAGACAGAGTCTTACTTTGTTGCCCAGGCTAGAGTGAGTGCCCTGGCGTCAGCCTAGCTCACAGCAACCTCAAACTCCTGGGCTCAAGCGATCCTGCTGCCTCAGCCTTCTGAGTAGCTGGGACTACAGGCATGTGCCACCATGCCCGGCTAATTTTCTCTATATATATTAGTTGGCCAATTAATTTCTCTCCATTTATAGTAGAGACGGGGGGGGGGGGTCTCGCTCTTGCTCAGGCTGGTTTCGAACTCCTGACCTCGAGCCTCGGCCTCCCAGAGTGCTAGGATTATAGGCGTGAGCCACCGCGCCCGGCCAGACATTTTCTCAAAAATGAACAAAATGAACCTGTCACATCAAGGAAAACAATGGGCAGTATTTGCTGCCAATGAAAATATTTAAGCTTTCAATGGAAAGTTAGAATTCTGAGAAACTTTTATCCATCACCATGAGTATGAAAGCTTCTCAATAGTTAAAGACTTTTCTGATGAGATGGGTGGTGATAGTAACGAATATGATTTTTTAAACTTATTGAGTAATGCAATGTGTAAACATCTTGAAGATTTGTATAAATCAGTGAACCAATATTTTTCAAATGATTGTGGCAACAAATGTTACAAAATCATACATGGGTATACAACCCATTCAGAGTATAAGATACAACAGATTTTTTAAAAATAAAATTTTGGAATAATTTTACATTTACAGAAAAGTTACAAAGGTAGTATAGAGAGTTCCTATATACTCTTCTCCTAGTTTCCCCCACTGTTAACATCTTATATTACCATGATACAGGTGTCAAAACTAAGAAATAGACATTGATATATTACTAGTAAATAAACCCCAGACTTTATTTGAATTTCAGTGATTTGTCCACTAATGTCCTCTTTCTGCTTCATTACCCAATCCAGGGACCCACACTGCAATTAGTTCAAGAGTCCTCAATTTCTACGAGTTTAAAGGGATCCTAAGATAAAAAAAAAAAAAAAAATGTTAAGAACTGCTGATGTAGGGGATGGGCAGATGGTAAGGGAAGAACATGAGCTGTTAAGTGGAACAGTCTTGGATTTGAACTCCAGCATGCACACTCATTAGCCATTACCAGCTTTACAACCAAGAGCAAACTAGTAACTTTTCTGAGCTTTGGTCTCTTCATCTCTAAAACCAGGCTCAAAATAACTACTACTGCGGAGAGCTGTTGTGAAGGCCAGAAATGTTGTCAGCCAGCAAAGACAGTGACTAGGGTCTGTTGGGCAATGGATGAGTGGCAACTCTTATGAATACTTTTTCTCAATTCTAAGGCACCATCAACTTATTACCAGCTTAGAGGGAAAAAATATGAAATTAAATGTACATGTGATTAAATATTTCAATTTCATAAAGATCTTTTAAAGTAGTAAATGCATTACTCAAACACTAGCATTGGTTTTCCCAATCAAGGCATGCAAAGCAAAACATATCCATAAATTAAGCCAAAGTAGACATGATCTGGAAACTTCACAATCAGTTAACATTTATATAGAGAGATTTAAATGACAGCATGTGGTTGTTTGGGTGGTGGGGGTGGGAGTGTAGTGGCTTTAAATAAGGTTTAGTTGACACTTCAAGTTGGGTGTATTCACTCAGACACGAACAGACAGTCAAATTAAAAATATTCTCTGAAGGCCAGGTCTGATCGAGTCCCCAGCACTCTCCTAGAAGCTGGCTTTGGTCCTGTGGTTTGCCAACCCTTCCTCAGCCCGGCTTCTGGTCTGCCTCAGACCCCTTCACACGCGACAGCATCCGCAAGCCCAGAAGTTTAGATTGTTAGACAATTAGGCATCCTAACAATTTTCGTCCCCAGCACACTCATGCTCAAAGAATGAAAATATTTTGAGCAATGGAGACGAGGAGGAAACTTATCAGCAACAGATATAAACACTGCATCAGGTCAAGTCAATTCTCCTCTCACCCATTCAGTTCGGTAGGTTTCTCACATCTGCTTTCCCAAGGACCCAACATAAGCAGTTAAAAATTCTTGGTGAATGCTGTCTGTCGAAAGTTAAATTCTTTTGCTATTCCCAGCTTGTGATCATTTAAAAGGAATTTTCCAAAGCAAGGTCTAATATTAGACTCAAAATGAAGTTTCCATTCCACTGAGGCGCTATTCTCACCAAAGTAACTACTGTATAATCAGATTGTCTTGGAGCAACTCATTTAAATGCAGATGCACATACTTGAAATACCAGCTCAAAAGCACCAACAGATCTGACGGGAAAGGGCCCTACTCTAGGAGAAATTATTCATGTGAATTAGCCTTCTTAGATAGAAAATTAAGTTTTCCTCAGAGTTCACTTGTAGTCACCACTCACACCTTCCACCTGCATCACTGAAACTCCTTTATCTGCCCCAGAGCCACATTCTTTTAGTTTGGAAGTCCTGGTGAGAAACTCCTTCTGAATCTCCTTCTCCATGTGCAGTACCAAAAAAAAGAAAAACAAAAACAAAAAACACCTTTACAGAATAGCAATTCAGTACACTTTCCCACTTGACCATTCACTGCAGGGAATTTAGATTTTAGTTCTTATCAGGAGATCAATCTAAAGGAAAATGTGAACAACTTTTCGATACAGAGATTTTAAAAAACTGAACTTAAACAAGCCCTTTCTTAACATAAGCATTGGAGGAATTAAGTCAGGATTGAAAGCAGAAAAGCAACCTGGAGAAAAACTAAAAACTAAAAGATTATAAACTAATGGATTTTTTTGTTTGTTTTTTGTTTTTTAGAGCTTCTAGAAGTTATACAGCCATTTAAACTAATGGATTCTTAACTTCCAAAGAGACAAATGAAAATATAGCAATCAACAAATCATGTAATTTCAACAAATCATGTAATTATAGGTATTAAATTACACTTAAAACTTTTTTGATACTCTAGCCCAGGCTAGAGTGCAGTGTTGACATCATAGCACACTACAACCTCAAACTCCTGGGCTCAAGCGATCCTCCTGCCTCAGCCTCCCAAGTAGCTGGGACTATAGGTGTATGTCATCATGCCTTGCTAATAATTTTTCTATTCTTTTGTAGAGAAGGGGTCTCGGTGTTGCTGAGCTGGTCTGACCTCCTGACCTCAAGCGATCCTTCCTCCCACCTCAGCCTCCCAAAGTGCTAGGATTACAGGCATGAGCCACCACACCTGGTCAACTTCATGAAGATAGATCAAACAAAGTGTAAATTGCCATCATGATTAGGGCTTGGAAAGAGCCCTTTCTGGCTATGAGGGGTCTTGCAGGGTGTCAGTTACTTTGAACTGTCCTTACATTTAAACTCTTCACCCTTCTCTTCTGGTCTTAGAAATGGAGGAAAAAGGAATCACTAAGCCAGGCCTAAGAGAGTCTTGGCAGGTCTATTGGCAGAGTAGAGGACTTTATGACTGTATCTCTTCAAATTCAGAGTGACAAACAAGTTATAATATGAAATAGCCTAGACTGTTCATGTTTCTACAACTGCTATGCACTCAAGGCAGGGCACCAGCACAGATGAAATTATAAGAACCATGTCTTCACTGGGAGATAAAGTAATGAAAATCATCTATTTGAGGGTATTATAGAATTGGATCAAATTTCTACCTCTGCCTGCTTCCACTGCTCCACAATCAGAGTTTATCACTTGTATATTCTCCCTGGATTGTAAACAAGCCCCAAATGGTAGCAGGTTACCACACTTGCATCTTTAACTCTATCACGCTTCTAGACTCAAATTTTGAATGACAGGTAGAACCCATTTGCATTTTGATGGGCATCAGCAACAGGACAGTGGTTAGGCTGACCTGGTTAGGTTGGGTGGTTAGGTTAGGGATATGTGACTTCTCATGAAGATAAGGACCCATTTGTTCTCAGACAATGTTGATGTCACTGAAGCAGGCCAGGACAGCCTGCAGCCTAACCGAAACAGCTAAGAAAGTCAACAGGGCGGATGTGCAAAGGAATCAGGAACGACTTGATATAGCTGTGCTAATAAAAATGACAATAGTAAAAAAAAACCCAACAATGTGAGCACAAAACAAACAACCTGTGGGGTCCTAAAATGCCACTTAAACAGCAGGAAAAAAAAAAATAAGTGGAAAATCCAGTAATGAGAAATCGAGCCACACATCTTATGTTCAGTATTGCCGCTGTGCCGCACAACT